CCTACGGGTGGAAGTTGTTCTACTCAGGTGTCGACATCTACACGCTTGCTCAGCCCGGGGTTGTTCTCGTAGAACCCAACATGGCACGTAGAATCACTGAATAGAAGCCTGTTAACGTAAGAATGGCAATCTTCCGACTGAAGCTACAACCGGCTAAAGCGTTGACCTTGTTATAGGTCTATACGCCAAAATTGGAGAGAGAAACATGAGTCCTTCCTGGAGGAGGCGTAGTTGCTCTGAATGAACTTCCGACTACAGAGTCCCTCATATTAATGCGCATGTCGATGCAGACACTGAAAAATGAAAAGGTGTGATTAGAAAAAACGACCCTACCGACGTCAGCAACGGCACGAATTTATGAAAACAATGCACTGTCTATTATGAATACGTTAGAGCTTCGATGTGCCCATCAGTGTACCTGGTACGGAATCCATTTAACGTTGGCATTGGTCTTCGGCAAGGCTGCGTCCTGTCCCCTCTGCTGTTTGTGTTGTACATGGATAGTGTAGCCAGGAGCAGCCAAGGCGATGAACGTATCGGTGTAGGACATGTGAAGAGGAGAAGGTTGCAGTGTGCAAACGACCTGGATTTATTGGTATCTTCTGAAACTGATCTTCAGTGTTCCCTAGAAAGGTTCGCAGCCGAGTGCGACGTTGCCGGCATGAACATCTCTAAGACGAAAAGCCTAGTGCTGTCGTTGTTCTGCCCGTTGCTCTCTTCAGATTGACGGAGGCAGTGGAGCAGGTGAAGAAGATGAAGGACCTCGTAGTCGTATTTACTAGTGATGGAACATTTGACGAAGAGCGACTGGCGGATAAGAGTAGCCATTGGCGTTCCGCGTGAACTAGCCCGAACCACTGTGACTAAAGCAGAATTGAGTCTATAAAGATTGCGCTCTGGGTGTTCTAGTCGATCTTCATCCCCATGCTTATCTATGGTCATGAGTTTTAGATCATGACTGAAAAATTTCGATCCCACGTACAAGCGGCTGAAATTGGCTGGCTGAGTCGCAGGCCCTATGCGTCTCGACATGGTATGGAGTACAGAAATCTGGGATAGCTTTGGTGTATAGCTGATGCTTCTTCAGATTGAGAAGTCATAGCCGCGATGGTTTAGGCACGTATTACAAATGCCTTCAGAAAAGAATCGGAAGCAAAAACTTCTTGTCCAGCTGGCCGGTAGATGGACCAGGGGATGGCCAAGATTAACTTAGTGAAAATATATGGAAAGTGTCTGCTCTAGATTCCAGTCATCTGCCGAAGCTCAGGAAGGGGAACGTTGGAAATACTGCCTATCGCATCTGTCGCCGCGACCCAAAAGACGAAGCGGTTAAGGAAGATGGAAAAAATTTCAAGGCAATTTTCAGCTTGTTTTCCAGCAGGAAAGGCGTGTCAATTGCATAAGGAAAGTGGATGTTTCGTTCGCACTGTTCAGTTTTCAAAATATCAAAACTGAAATTTATAAAGTCGAGTTTTATACGATAAGGACTGAAATCCTTGAAATATGCATTTGATATCCAATGTGTAAAAAAAGAATAAACATACGTTACGCGCGTTCATACAAAACGACGGCTGAACAAATGTATTCGAACCACGTTTATTTTTATTACATATACGTCACATTGCAACTATTCTGTATGGTACTTTTTCTTTTTTCTTGGCCGATCTACAACATGTTAACGTTACGAAAGAAACAATTTCAATAATGACTGCATACCGCTCTGCTTGGTTTCATCTTCATTAACTATAAAATACATAATTAATTACCCAAATTCTAAACATGCTACGAATGTCTTCAAAGTATTGTTCCCATTAAGTGGTAGGGCATCCTGAAGAAAAGATGAGGATTGAAGGCAAAGCATAAGCAACCTCGTAAAATGAGAATGAAATTTGGAACATTAGTTGTATACAGTTGCAACGATAGAACAAAACGAACGAAGGCTGTTAGCTGTTTTGCAATAACTATTAGAGAAGTTTGGCTCAGGTGCCAACAAAGCAGAATGCGATGATTGCCAAAAAGTAATGTACATAGAACCAGCTGGAATGATACAACGATATGAACCGGAAGTAGAATGGCTGATGGAAAAATGATTGCAATAAAAGGGCTTTTTGGATTCGTGGATCAGTTACAAACCCAAAGATACTTTTCGCTATTCTAAAGAACAGCTCGGTTCCGCAAATAGGTTTTATTGAAGCGACACTTGATTTGGGGTACCTACAATGGTGTCGAAACCGGTTCACTTATAGAAAGAATGTGAAACAAAAAACACTAATAACGAAACAAAAAGTCTGCGAAGACGAACTATCACCGACATCTTTATCGATAAAAAACAGCTTGGCTTAGATGAAAGAGGACATTGACGGGGTCTGTGATAAAAAATGTACATCAAGCAAAAACCAAAGGTAAGTAACGAAAGAGTAGCAAGTTGCAAGTGCAGTTTTAACAGTAGTAAATTGCAAGTGTAGTATACGTATGCAAGAATGTATGTAAATACAGTGTAAATTGTAACTATGCAAGTTTAGTGACACTGAATAAATATGAGAAAAGGAAAGAAGAAAACTTTGTAACTGCTGGAATGTCGGTCTTGCACTTTCATAATGAGCCACTCTGAACCCCTTATTTTCATGACTTAATGGTGGGGTGCTAATCGACATCAGCCAGGAGTGTTTAGTCGAATAAACAGCGATGTAACAAGCATATTGTGTAGTCTTCTGTTTCCTTCCTACATTTATCAACGTCAGAAGGATGCTACCCAGACCTGGGTTCGAAAACTCGACCTCTCGATTTTGAGTTCGACGCGCTCTATCACCTGTGCAACTCCGGTCTGAAGCAAGGGAAAGCAAAAAAAGATGATTGGACATTTAAAAAACATCAATGCCAAGAAAATGATAAAAGGCTTGACTAAAGATAAGAAAATGTGGAACGGATT